GACCCAAGGGCAGCCCATCAGGAGACAGCCAGCCATTCAAAAAGAGGTTTGCTTCTGGGGCTCTGGGCCAGTGTAACCAGCCCCATTCATATCTAGATGAGAACATCTCAAAGGTTGGTGGAAAAGTGAAAAAAAAATGAAGGCCCATAAGGCGGGAAAACAGCCCCAAAAGCACTGGCACTCATCTTTACAATAAACACTCTTTATCACCAAGGTAGCTCAACCATCTTATGGAATCCTTTGCTGTTATTACAGTGCCTTGCATGCCTTGTATTCTTTTTTTTTTTTTTTTTAAAGAGAGAGAGAGAATTTTTTAATATTTATTTTTTAGTTTTCGGCGGACACAACATCTTTGTTTGTATGTGGTACTGAGGATCGAACCCGGGCCGCACGCATGCCAGGCGAGCGCCCTACGGCTTTGAGCCACATCCCCAGCCCCAGTGCCTTGTATTCTTCTGTCACCCTTGTGACATTGAATAATATTATTCATATCACCACAGCTATGATATTTGAAAATAGATATCACATGTTTAGCTTTCTTATATTCATTAGAGCACTATAATCCCTCAACACACATTGGACAGACGGATGGATGGATGGATGGATGGATGGATGGATGGATGGATGAATGGATGGATAAACAACTGACTCATGGAGAACTGAAAATAAAATCCAAACTCCTTAAAATTTATAGTATGCTTCCTCGTCTCCAATTTCCATCATTCTCTACATGCTCCAGTAATACTAAACTTCTCCGGAATCTCCAGACACACAGGTACTCTTCCATTTTCCCTGCCTCTACACAAATCCTTCCCTCTCCCCTTAGTCTCACAAATGCCAACACTTTCCTCCTTCTCTACAAGCTCAAGTGTCTTGTCTCTGTGCTTCCTCACTTTGCATCTGCCTCCCCACCCCCACCCTCACCCCATACCACAACCTCTCCACAGGCCAAGTGTGCTCTTCAGCTTTAGGCAGCTAAAAGAGTTAAAGAATACTTGGTTTGCTGTTTTTAGCATGTGGCCCCACACAACTACGGGAGAAAAAAAATTAAAGAATTTTGTTCCTCAGTTTAAGAAAAGAACTGAGTCTACAGAATACTTATATATCTATAGATTGTGGACATTATGAAGTTTATTGCTCTAATATAGAGAACTTAAGAATCCTTTTTAATATTTAATATTTGTTTTTTAGTTATAGTTGGACACAATACTTTTATTTATTTTTATGTAGTGCTGAGGATCAAACCCAGGGCTTCACATGTGCTAAGCGAGCGCTCTACCGCTGAGCCACAACCCCAGACTGAGAGCTTGAGAATCTTAAAGCAATAAAATGAATAGAAAGCAGCCTTTTACTCCAAACTGAACTAAAGATCAAATGAGAAGTCAAACAACTCGTGCTTACTAGCTGAGCATACCTGGGAAGTTCCTCTATGTGGCTGGGCCAAGATAAGTATCTCATTATAAAATGGGCACAATCATGCCCACCTTACAGAATTACACAGTATGCAGAATAAATACGAGAACATATCTAAAATACCTTGGCTGTGCCAGGCCAACCTTCTTAAAACTCATTATAATTACATGACACTACAGAGAGGACTAGCTGATAAAACCAAAGAGTATGAAGGCCCAGTGTTTACATTATAAGCAACCCCTGAACACCAGCCCTTCTCTCTCTGTAAAACAGTGCCCCTATGTCTTCTCTAATTTTGTATTTGTCTAACATTTTGTTTTGGCTATTACTTAGCTATATTATAAATAAATAAAATAACTTAAGACCTCAGATGCCAATCCTACAATCATGCTCTGTGTGTGTGTGTGTGTGTGTGTGTGTGTGTGTGTTCCTGGGGATTGAATCCAGGGCCTTGTGCATGCTAGGAAAGCACTCTATCAACTGAGCCATATCCCCAGCCCCAATCATGCTTTTAATAATTACCCATAACATTTTTCTCTACAAGTTTGAAACTTTTTATAACATGGCCTCCAATATTCTTTAAAACCATATCGTGTGCTCAATAGAACTTCTGCTAAATTAAAAAGGATAAAATTGGTAAACACATCTTGTAAACATCCATAAATATGAAGTCTGGCTATCAAGCAAGTATCAAAAGCCCCATTATGGAATAAAAAAGACATGGAATACATACACAAAAGAGTTTTATTCAGCCAGAATGAGGAATAGAATTATGTCATTTGCAGGAAAATGGATTATCTTGAGAATATTATGTGGAACAAAATACACCAAACTCAGAAAGTCAAGGTTGTACGTTTTGTCTTATGTGGAAATAAGAGAGGAAAAAGGAAAAGAAAGGTGGGACATATCATGAAAATAGAAGGGAGATCAACAGAGTAGAGGAAATGGACCAGCAGGAGGGAGGAGAAGAAGCAAAGAGGAAATACTGGGGAATGATATCGGTCAAATTATGTCATTATACTGTGTGCACAAATGAGTATGTAACAATCCCACTATTGTTTAAAATTATGATGTACCAATAAAAAAATATGGAAAAAAGACCAAAAAAAAGTTTTTAAATGTTCATGGTGAGAGGGGGAAAAAAGAGTCCTATTATGACCCTAACACAATCCTCTTTCATATAGGTCAGTTCCCACAACTGAGTCCTACACGAGACTCCAAACTACAGTGCATCATGCAAGCTGTAATTTCATGCAGATCATGCAGATCATTTTACATATCACCTAGTTTTTACATAAAGAAAAACTTACAATATATTTTCTTTATTTGACATAAGGAAAAACATAGATTTGTAGGTTATAAAATATACATATTATAAAAAAATAAATATCAACTATGCACTTAATGACCAATTTATATCCCATTACTTTAAATTTCTTTATTTTTAATTATGGTAAATTATACATAACAAAAAATTTCCCATCTTAGCCATTTTTAAGTGTACTGTTTAAATATGTTCACATTTCTGTGCAGCAAATCTCCAGAACTTTGCATTTTAGAAAACTGAAACTCTACCATGAAACAACCCCAGTTGCCCCTTCACCCCCCCCACCCCCCCCACCCCGCCGGAAACCACTATTCTACTTTCTGTTTCCATGATTTTGACTGCTGTAAATGTCACACAGCATTTGTCCTTTTGTGACTGGTTTGTTTCACTCAAAATAATATCTTCAAGGTTCATCAGGTGTCAGAATGGCCTTCCTTTTTAAGGGTTAAGAAGAGCCCATTATTTTCAAATAGAGCAAAAGTAAGAACAAAATTTTGAAGAAAGAATTAAGAATATTACGGGCTGGGGATGTGGCTCAGTGGTAGAGTGCTCGCCTAGCACATGTGAGGCCCTGGGTTCGATCCTCAGAACCACAAAAAAATATATTAATTAAATAAAGGTATTTAAAAAAAGAATTAAGAATACTAAATATTTTAATTGAAATTTCAAAAACTAAGCTAAGCTCTTTCCCTGGGTTGCTTCTTTGGGGAATGGAAATTCCTAGAAATAGAATCACAATTCTAAGATATGATTAAAAAAATCATGTATTTCCATTTGTTTACTGAGGTTCCTCTTATCAATAACAAGTTTGCCTGGAGGTAGGTTATCTGTTAGGTTAAACCATATAAAATTGCTGCTATTAGGCACTGTTGACCTTAAAAAAGGATAATTTCATGTCCAAACTGATAATTTATCATTTTTTCTTTTAAACTCATCTAAAAGATACTGCTTTGAATGTGAAGAAAGGTGTACTACCTCTTACATCTACTAACCAGGGCCCAGATTCAAGGTATTTTTACCATAATGTTGTGGTTATGGAATTATAGGGTTAATTTGGAGCACAGGCTTTTGGCTCCAGGCTTCCTGGCAAATTGGTAAACTCCTTCAAACTTTGTTTTCCTCATCTAGAAATTGAGTTTAATAAAATCTGTTTTCAGAATTATTAATTAATGATTGTGATAATACAAATTAAATGTGGAGCACACCTAGAGTTGTAACTCAGTTGTAATGCACTTGCCTAGCATGTTTGAGACCCTGGATTCCATCCCCAACACCAAATAATGATACCTAAAATTGAGGCACCTATTAAATACTGGGTACTCTTATCTTACTCGGATCTTAGGTTAATGAGTGATTACTCTTTCTAATACTGTAGCTTTCAGTGGTACAGGAGGAGGGTATTTCCCTCACAGGAAACTTTGGCAATGACTAGAGATATTTTTGTTTCACAACTCAGGGGAGAGGAAGCTGCTACTGGCATCTAGTAGGTAAAGGCCACACATACAACTCAATGTCCTACAGTTCATAGGACAGTGCCCACAAGAAAGAATTTTTGTCCAAACATCAATAGTGAGAAGCCCTGTACTAATAGAATTATTGTTTACAGCTCTTACTCATAAATATATATTTTTTAAATTTCCAAAGAAAAATGGGGAAACACTGAATGGACCTTCAAGTATCATACAGTAATGCACAGGAGAAAACCTGAGGCAGAGAGATGAAGGTATTTTAATGCCCTGCCCTGTTAGATCTCAGAGCTACACAAGTTGGCAGCAAATAAAGGAAATAGGTGAAGGCACTGGGGAGAGAGAAGGTTTAAGAAACAGAGGTCAACATGACTGTTTAAAGTCATTATTTCTTAAAACAAAGACAAAGGGTTAGTTAGTTCAATCACTTGCCAGGAACTGTTCTGAGACATAAAATTTGCCAAGTAAATAGCTACGTAGTCATTTCTTAGTTTTAAAATACTCAATGCATGTAATAAGTAAGCAAACACTTATTTAATCAGTTTTATACCCAAATGCTAAAAGGTTTTAGCTTTCAAACATTTTATTATAGAAAAAAGATAACAATGATTAAAATGTTTTGATGATAGCTAACCCACTGATAAACATGGTAAATTAAAAATAAACCACTTATATTGTCTTGATGGTCATATTAATTTTTTTTCCTATTTGTTAAATAAGCGACTTGGGATATACTTTCCCACCTGAATGATTTAAATCATTTTAATATCCCCCCAAAACACATTTATACTTACATTCACTTGAACTTGAATGGACCAGTCACCAAGGATTGGATGTGATGATACTTGAAAAGTTTTGGAAATGACTCCAAGCTCACTTTGTTGTGACAACCATTGTTGGATCAAATTGGATTTGGGGTCCTAAAACAAAAACCACACATGTTAACTATATAAAGGTTGCCCCTGTACACATGTATCCTATTAGGTTAGGAATGATGTTTGTAGTACCCTGAGACACATCCAGAACACTCCCCAAAATAAGACACTAAGATAGGTTTGGGGAAATGTCACGTCTATACTACTAAAGAAAACAAATCAAAATTTTTTCTTCTATTTCCCCCGAGAACATCTTGATTCTGCTCCAACTTTTAATTCCTGGCACCATGTTTCCTTCTACAACATGGACATCACCAAACTTAAGGTGGTGCCAAAAGAAAAATCTGCTGTAGAAATAACAGGCCCCAATTATTAGAGTCTCACTATGTCAGGCACTCTGCCTTGTCTCAAATAATTCTAATTCTGCAGGACTGCATTGTCTTCACCTCGTAGTTGAGAAAACTAATGCCTGGCCCAATATTCTAGCACCAAACACATGATGGAATTGAGCATTCAAATCCGGGTCTCTTTCAATTCAATCACAGCATATCAGAGAGATGTTTAACTAAGGACATAGATGAAAATCACTTGAGTCTTCCTGTAATCTCCCAGACAGTATCTCTTCATGGAGTACTCACCCCAGGCACTCCAGCAGCTAACCCAGGTTCCTCTCACATTCCCAGCCCCATCAATTCTGTCTCATCCTCCTTCTCCCTCTCCCTCTCTCTTTCTCTATCTCTCTCTCTCCTTTTCATCCTCACAGTCTACCACCATATCCTGTTTTCTAACAACTGCAAATAATCTCATCCCTCCAGTCTGCCCCCTCTGATACAGCTTCCCCACTGCACAGTGTGATCCATCTGAAACATAGATCTGAGAATGAGGTACATGGTTGAAATGTTGAGCATAGTTCTTGGCATGTAGCAAGCAATGAGTAAACACTGGAGTGATCATTCTAATAGACCAGTGGATACTGATGACTTTAGTCTACAGAATGGACTCTCCACACTTTTGCATGGTTTACAAGGCCCTTAGCAATCTGTCCCCATCTACATTTCTACACGCATCTTCTTCCAAACATACAAATTTGTTTGCAGTTCACCCAGGAAGTCCACACATCTAGACCTCTGCAGTTGCTACATGGAATGTTCTTCCTTCTTTGATCACTAGTGAAATGAGCTCCAGCTTCTTACCCTCCATACACACTTCCAACAGGCAAAAATGACTATGTGGGCACCACTGAACCTTCAATACCTCTGGAGTTTACTCCTCTTGAGTGTAACTTACTAGTATAGGCAGTAAAAAAAAAATGTTTATTGTATATATTTTATTTTACAAAAAATATTTTTGTTCCCAACTAGATTTGAATTCCTGACAGCAGGGAGCAAATGTTTTCTCTGATTCTTATTCTCTGTCCTTTGACTAAAATTAACGAGTTGGCTCTGTTATTAGAAACCAGAAGAAATCTCTCTGCCAGAGTAGGGAGATGAAAGTTAGGGTAAGCACAGTGCTGAGAACTGAGTAGGCAGTAGTTTAATCAATTGAGAATCAAGCAGTAAGCTAGAAACTAATTGTTAAAACCAGTGACCAAAGGCAGATCAAGAAGAAGCAGGTCACTGTACCCTTGGCCAACTCCTGAGACAAGTATTGTAACTGGCAGCTGGCTCTACTGGGCCTGCCACAGCATGAGGCATGGGAAAGCTGTGCACTTTAAAGGCCCAGGAAGAAATATAAATAGCTAATAAATATGTGCTGTCTAGTAATTAAGGGAATGAAAATGAAAACAATAAAGTACTATTTTTCTTTTTGTAGACTGACAAAGACTTTAAAAATGAACAATAATTCTCAACATTACTTAAAGGGTAGAGGGAGGGAACACCCATATTCTGCCAATGTCTTATTGTGGTGAAGGTGTCATGTCCCTCTAAACAGAGGACATCATGAACTGACATCTTGGTGACTTTGTACCTGGAAGATCTCGGTTGTGGGGTGCATGAGATAATCCCTCTGGTTTCCCAAGCCCATCTTGGACTTACATCTAACCCTCACCAGTAAGGAAGACATAGGCGATATAGAACCACCAGAAATGATTACCGAGCACAGCGGGATTTGAACAGGCCATGCATGGCACCATCACAGCAGAGTCCAGCATTTGTACATGGTCAGCTCCTGCTGTACCCACACAGGAGGCCACTTAGAGTTGAACAGTGGCCCCCGTATAGCCACAACAGCTGTGTGCCAGAAACACTGGAATGGTGACTCTTCGAGTCACCTCTGGATGGCTTTGGATCTCCATCAGATGCCTCAGCACAGCACTGTACCTGCTGCCTGCACCAGACTGTCTCAAGCAGTAAATTCCGTGACTGGAGAATGTGTCTACAAGGACTGCTTCTGGAATGCAGGATTATATGCAAGGTTTGTGTCTGTTTGGCATATAAAATCAGAGAAGTCAAATCACTCAGGATTTGATGGCCCCCTCACCTGACCAGAGCTATGGTTTTGAAGTTGCGATAGCTTCTGCAGAGTGTCAGGGCACAGTCAGAGGATATACCCCTAGCCAAATATACCTGTTCCCACACAAGATTGTTCACCTATACCAGGAGTAACAAAAAAGTTCAGGGTAGAAGCCAGCCTTCACAGTGGCAGAGACCCTTATGTCTATAACATTAGGCCAAACTGACAGAGGATGTTCAAGTTAAGGCATGTTACTCATTGCCAAAAAGCCTCTGAAGCCCCTTTCTTTCCTGAGGCCAATGACTGGGGCAGGCAAAATGAATAACACCAGCAATCCCCACAAAAAAACACTGAAGGTCCCTGAATAGGCAGTGATGGTCCCTATCTTAGTTAGGTCTTACAGCCATTCTTGGCTGGGTAAAATAATTCCCAAAAAGTCAGCTTGCTGACTTGCAGGAGTGCTTCTGCACATCAGCCTACAGGTGGTATTGCTAGGAGTATAATAACCGACCTTGTCAGGGGCTCAGATTCACAAATTGCAACTTTTTTCTTGGAATTTCTGCCCAGAAACCAATTATTCTACACTAAAAAAAAAAAGAAAAATACAGAAAATATCACAAGGTCCTGTCCCAAGTGACTGCTTTCAGCAGAAGGAATACAACAGTGTGGGCATTCATATCAATGCCCAACCTGGCCTCTACAAGTTACAAGAGGGAGATAGCTAGATCTGACTCCTTAGCCAAACTCACTCTCCAGGTACAGAGAGGATATAGCCACCCTCATGAACTGACCCCAAACACTGCATTTCAGCCTAAATTCCTGTCCCCTGGGCAAAAGGGTCACACACTAGCCAGGCCAGTAGGATCCCTTAGAACTAGAGTATGTTAGTCAGCTTTTTGTCACTGTGACCAAAAATACCTAACAAGAACAATTTAGAGGAAGAAAAGTTTATCTGGGCTCATAGTTTCAGAGGTTCAGTCCATGGTGAGCCAACCCCATATCTCTGTGCCTGACATGAGGCAGAGCATCATGGCAGAAGGACATCCAAAGAAAAGCTGCTCAGCTCATGACAGCCAAAAAGCAGAGAGAGAAAGTGGGGTGCCAGGGACAAGATGTAATCCCTAAGGGCACTTCCCCAGTGACCTACTTCCTCCCACCATGCTACGGTTACCTCCTTGTAGTCCATTTAAATTACGAATCCATCAAATCCACGGATGAAGTCATAATTTAACCATTGCACCTTTGATCATTGCCACATTACCTAATGCACAAGCTTTTGAGGGGGACACATCCTAGAGCTAACACAGAGCTAACAGAGGAAGGTCTCACTAGGAAAGCCAAATGTGAGGGGCCTGGTCCAAAATTGAACAGAAGAGTCCAAAGAATCTACAGATCTAAAGTTTCAAAGACAGAGTCTAGAGTGGAGAGGCAGAACCTCAAAAAATGCAGAGGCCAGTTCTGGGGGTGTAGTTCAAAGGCACGGCGATAGCTGAGCACATGTGAGGCCCCAAGTTCATTCCCCAGTACCACAAAATATAAAAATAAAATGGAAAGGAAGGAAGGACAAAAGGAAAAAGAGGACAGCTGTCCAGAATCAGCAGTGGTAGTTCTGATTTAAAGCCTAGAACAAGCTATTTCTCTGGTGCTGTCTTTTTTTTTTTTTTTCTGCCTGAGGTAGATGGAAGGAAACAGCTGAAAACAGCCAGAGAGCTGTTTAGCACTCACCTCTGAACCATCATTTTACATCAATAGCAAGTCCTCAGGGTACGTGAATAATGACAGATGGTATGAACAGAGTCAGTTCAACCCTGCTCAGAGCCCCATGAACTTAGAAACGCTATTCACAGTATCAACATGCTTTATGGACATCTCCATACCTAGCTAGCAAAGGCAGAAATTCACAGAACTGAAGACTCAAAAGATTTCATATTTCAATTCAAGAAATATGCATTGGGCACCATGACAACCGACATGATTTTTGCTATAGACATATCTTGGCTTGAATTTTATTTATGTACTTGCCCTTTTGGTTGGTGGTGGTGGTGGTGGTTTTAATTTATAAAAAGAAAAAACTAAAAATACCAAACTAAAAAGCCTGGGTTTGTGCCTGGGGTTGTGGCTCAGCGGTAGAGCACTCACCTAGCACATGCGAGGCCCTGAGTTCAATCTTCAGCACCACATAAAAATAAATAAATAAAGGTATTTTGTTCAACTACAACTAAAAAATAAATGTTTAAAAAATAAAAAGCCAGGCTGGGGATGTGGCTCAAGCGGTAGCGCGCTCGCCTGGCATGCGTGCAGCCCGGGTTCGATCCTCAGCACCACATACAAACAAAGATGTTGTGTCCGCCGAAAACTAAAAAATAAATATTAAAATTCTCTCTCTCTCTCTCTCTCTCTCTCTCTCTCTCTCTCAAAAATAAATAAATAAATAAAAATTAAAAAAAATAAAAAGCCTGGGTTTATCTTCCACCCTGTTATTTATTAAAACATTTAGAGTAACTGATGTCACAGGACTGAGGGACTCCCGAAACCCATGATTTTAAAATCAGCAGCTTCCCAGGCCAACTGGAATAAGCTTTTCACATGATGGTCAAACGTATAGCATGTTCCTCCACTTAAATGTAGAAAACCAAGCCCAGCTGGACCTCAGTTTCACTCTCAAAGGGGAAATACCCAATCTGCAGCCATGCTACCCTCTGATATCAGAGTGCTCAAGCAGCAGATACCAAATAAATTCTCTCAAAAAGGGTTTTGGGCTGGGGATATAGCACAGTTGGTAGGGTGCTTGCCTTGCATGTACAAAGCCTGGGTTCCATCTTCAGCACCATAAAAATAAAAAAAAAAAAAGGTTCTTATTATAATAGTAACAGCTAATCACTGGTGATCATGTACTAGGCCCCAGCCACGGTTCTAAATGGTTCACTCAAATTATCTCATTTAATCCTCCCAAAAGCATCGTGAAGTATTATTACTACACATTTTATAGACAGGGAAACTGAGGCTCAGAGAAGTTAATTTTCTCAAGGTCACACACTAACATCTATTCTTTTACAGTTGACGGTGAGCTTTTAAGATGTTAAGTCAGATCGTGTCATGCCTCTCCTTGAATTCTCCAGTGAATTCTCATTTCACTCAGTGTAAAATATAAAGTCCATATGATGGCCAAAAACACCCCACATGGGCCCAGCTCCCAACCCACTAATTGTGTCTGATCTCATCTCCTAATACTCGTCCCCTCACTCCCTGGGCCCCAGTGCATCACCAGTTCTTTCAATGTGCCAAATAAGCTCCCACCTCAGGGCCTTTGCACATATTGTTCCCTCAGTTTGTATGTGCTCATTCTTTTATTTCCTTTGTATAGGCTCATGTTTTTTATTTTCCTTTCCTTTTATTTCCTCTGCTCAAATTGTCTCCACTGACGACTTTATGGAAAATAGCAAACACAAACTAATTTGCTCTCCTCTCTCCCAAACACACACACACATATATATGTATTTATATTACATATAAATAGCATATAAGTGTATGTATAAATTATATATACATGTACACATACATATATGTATGTATATAATACATATATGTAAATACCATATATATGTATATATTTATATATGCTATTCACTATCTGTTTCTTCACTACCCATAAACTTGATACAATACCAAGAATAAACTTGACTTGGGGCTGGAGTTGTGGCTCAATGGTAGAGCACTTGCCTTGAAAGTGTGAGGCACTGGGTTCAATCCTAGCACCTCATAAAAACAAATAAAGGCATTGAGTCCATACAGAACTAAAAAAAAAAAAAAATACTTAAAAAAGAATAAACTTGACCTGATGTGAGCAGGGACTTAATCTGTTCTCTTCACTGCCCTGTGTCAGTACCTAGAATACAGAAGTCCATTAAATGTATGACAAATGAAAAAAAAAAAAAAAAAAACAATGAAAAAAACAGGCCTGGAACCGAACCAAACTGACCTTGAAGCCTGAGCTCTGAACCCAGGCCTCTACCACCTCCCTTCCTAGACAGAGGATTCCCATCTTGAGAACAAAGCTTATCTTAGGTGAAATTCTAAGATATTACAGTGTTAGTCACATGAGCAGAACTGGCTGGGGATGTAGCTCTCTGGTAGAGGTTTGCTTAGCATGCACAAGGCCCTGGGTTCCATCCGCAGCACCACAAAACAGTCATGTACCAAATCCTAAATCATTGCTGAACATGAACAGAACTTCAAGAGAGCTTTGGTAAGGCAGTTTGAACTCCTTGCTTTACTTGTGTTTGCGACTTACCTTAATTAGAATGTTCAAAGAGGTTTTATAAGGCTTGAAATCCGAGTAGAGTGTAACAACCCGAAACTTCACTTCTTGCTTTGGCTTATAGAGCATCTTGTCTGTTTGAATAAAAACAGATATTCTCTTGGTCTCAAATGATAAGCGTGTACTATCAGAGAATAAAATCTCATTCTGGGCATGTCCAGTTACACGTAGCTCATAAATCTCCTCCGCACTGTTCAGAGGTAGCTGTGGGGGAGAAGAGATAAGGTATATCAAGGTCTCATTTTTTACCTCAAAAATGTCTTCATTATAATCTAGAATAGAAAATTTAAATACACAGTATTATCAGAAGTAACTGCAATGTTGAACAATTTGCCCTTCCTGGGCACCAAACAATTTGTTTTCCTTTTTTAACATCTGATAGTTTGCTCTCTGATTATATCAAAGGGTTTCAGGAAGAGAGGACACACACCCCACAGCTCGCTCCCTCTCAGCAAGAGACAATTTATTGCTTCCAACTCCACTTGCAAATTATTCTCCCCGACAGTTATTAGGGGTCAGAATCCCTCAACATCCCCCACATCCTTTCTGTGCTTGCCCTATTCGAGACAGTCCACCCATGAAAGGTACATCTGCATTGTCTTCCTGCATCTTGTTCATCATGTGTCAGTCTCAGTAAGGATGATGGTGCTGCTAATTGCATTACTATTATTAATAACAGAAACCCTACCTTCTACCATTAACAGATGAGAAACCATACTAAACAATTAACTATATCATTCTACTTCAATCCTTTAGTAGATGCTTAGACTAAAACCATTCCACAAACAAGGAAGCTAGGGCTTAGAGGAGCTAAAGAGGTTTCTTCAGGTCACTAGCCCAGACACAAACCCAACATGAGCTATACTACTCTAAAAAGAACCTTAATTGCTGAGGGTGATGGTACACACCTGTAATTCCAGCCACTCAGGAAGCTAATACAAGAGGATCACAAGTTCAAAGACAGCTTAGGCAACCTAGTGAGATCCCATCTCAAAAAATAAAGAGGGAGAGGATGTAGCTCAGTGGTAGAGCACCTCTTGGTTCAAATATCCAGTACCAAAAAAAAAAAAAGGAAAAGAAAACTTCATGTAGTAATTTTAAAATACGTTCAAAAGTCTCTAACCTTTCTCCCTTCAAAAGGTGGAGCCTAGGGCTCAGGATGTAGCTTAGTGATATAGAGCCTATCTAGCATGAGCAGAGCCCTGGATTCAATCCACAATACAGGCAAAAAAAAAAAAAAAAATGTGAGACTTATTCTCCAGAGTTCACTATGAAATTCTTTAAGGTTTTTTGTACATTTGAAAATTTCATAATAAAATGTTACCAAAAAAAAAAACAAATAGGGGCTGGGATTGTGGCTCAGCGGTAGAGCGCTCGCCTAGCACGGGCGGGACCCGGGTTCAATTCTCAGCACCACATAAAAATAAAGGCATTGTGTTGTGTCCATCTACAAAAAAAATTCTCTCTCTCTCTCTCTCTCTCTCTCTCTCTCTCTCTCTCAAAAAAAATAATAATAATGCTGCTTTCAAGTTACCTCTGGTACTAATTTTTGCTTTTTTTCAATAAATAAATATTTATTGAGCATCTCCTATGTACCAGGTTTCCTAGGCATTGGAATACAACTTGAACCAAAGGCCCGTGCCTTCGAGGAATTGAGAGTCTAGTCTTGCATTTTTATATTCTATTTTCTGAAGTGATATTTCAGTCCTCTGATTATTTTAATCAGATTCCTTAATACTATAAGCAAGAAAATATACATGTCCAGAACCAGCATATAATATGCTTTTAACTGGCACAGATTTATAAATATTTCTTATGCAAAAATGAGATACTTGAGCCAGGCATGCCATGCAAACCTGTAAGCCCAGTGGCACAGGAGGCTGATGGAGGAGGATTGCAAGTTCAATTTCAGTTGCAAGCCTCAGCAACTTCGCAAGACCCTTAGCAACTCAGAGAGACCCTTTCTCAAAATAAAATAAAAGACTAGGGATGCAACTCAGTAGTAAATCACCTCTGTGTTCAGTCCGCAGTACAAAAAAAACAAAAGATATTTGATGGCATTGCTCTTTATAATTTGGATATAGTTTGATTATTTTACTGGTACAGAGCCCCAGAACAGATGGTAGATTAAATACTAATGTTAAATTAATGATGCAGAAGTGCAGAGGCTTCTTAACCACAAGGAAGCAAAGAGTCAGAGAATTAGAATTAACACAAATGTGCCCCCAAAACATTTTCCTGTGCTCCCTTCTCCCTCCTCCTTCAGGGAGCTGACGCTGACTCCAAGGGAGATGTTACTGCCCATCTTTTTGCTCCTTTTGGCTATCATAACTAGTTCACTTTTTCAGTTTTTGCCCATTATAAACCCCACTTGACCATACATAAAACTTAGGTAATTTGGCAGCCTCAAAGACTAAGTGCTAATCCCAGTGCTAGAAAGTCAGAATTATGACATGGGCCTTGGCACATGAATAGACAGACTCTCTTTCTGCCAGACCTGGGATGGGTTGTAACCTGCTTTCCACAGCAGACTGGACACCCTGGGGCACAGATGCTCATGCATCTGTGCTGGTCAATTGCCTTCTGCCTTCTTGGGGCCATTTACTAAAAAAGGATTTCCAGAATGGGTAATAATGCAGTCCCCTGATAAAAGACGTCCATATCTCTTATAAGGAAATCAGAGTTTTCCCATGGATATTTGGGACTCCTGTTCCTTGACCTGAGGGAACAGAGCTGGAGGAAGGTAGAGAGAGGTTGCCAAAGTTGGAAACTGTATGGCAGCCAGACAAAGTGTAGGAGTTGACAGTATCAAGAGGCTCTTATTGACAAAATATCAGCCTCTGGGTTGAGTTGTTGATTCTCAATTATGCTAAACCTATTCTGTGCATCCATAAATGCAATCTGTCTGAGTCAATGATAACTTTCTGCCCAGGGTACATAAGAAAAGCAAGCTCAAAAGATCCTTGGTGGACAGTAAATAAGCACAATTCATTCTAATCTGAGCTCTTTCACCTCCACTGACAGATTCATTGCACTAAGGAAATCTGAAATGACACAATAATGTTTATCTTTATTTACACATGCCAGTTACTAAAGAATTAGAAGATAAATTTTTTAGGTGAAATTGATAAATTTAAGGTTGGGTGTGGTGGTACACTCCTATAGTCCCAGGGGCTTAGGAGGCTGAGGCAGGAGGATCGAGAATTCAAAGCCAGCTTCAGCAACTGTAAGGCACTAAGCAACTCCATGAGATGCTGTCTCTAAATAAAATATAAAATAGGGCTGGGGATGTGACTCAGTGGTTGAGTGCCCCTGAGTTCAATCCCAGGCACCCCCCCAAAAAAAAACTGATAAATTTAAGATGATAGTTTTTAATCACTTTATTTAAAGTAAATTTTTAAAACACTTCTAATAAAACCACTCCCTCATTTTAAGTTGGATTCATTTAGCATGAGAATAAGAGAAATCTTTCTGCCATATTTTAAACACAAAATAATCTTTATATTAAGCATCAATTATGGTTTTTACTTTCTTCTTACTGAGGGCTATTTGTATCAAAAAAGTAACAATGACTAAATCAGATAAGACACATTTATTTTAGTTCACTCTTAAAATACACATGTTTTTCAGTAAAAAATCATAAAGACCTTTAAAAAAATAATTTAAAATATTACATTTACAAACATCAGACTGCAAGTACATTTTAAAAGTTGGGTCCCCTTTAACTGAACACCCATGAAAATATAGACTCTTCTATTTTTGCCAGTATTATCAAAGTTGCCCAGACATTTTATGACTAAGTCTTTAAAAATCTGTTCTACTAAAAAGGGAAATACTCCTAAATATAATCTCTAGTAAAGCTTTTAATAAATAGTTGCTATAGCTACATAGCGTGGAAATGGCATATATAATATTTAAAACGTAGGGTTTGTAGTTAGTATTTCATAAACTTAAGATTTAAAAAATAACTCTAGTAGTCAAATTTCTAGCTAGGGACATTCCAGACAAGCACGGTTTAAACCACGTGGTACTACTTGCCCTGCTTCCTCCTGTTTCCTGCTTTTCTACACTTCCAGCCTGTGAAAATGCAAACTCTTGAGGAAACCAAATAGTTTACTGGGCATCAAACTATGATTCCTGAACTTAAATCCCTCTCTCCTTCTGCTACAGAGCAATTATGATACACAGGATTTATTTTAATTTCACCACCAGCCTCCCATTTCAGCAGTTGTGCACACAGAATCTACTGTTTTAGGTTCTATTAATGCCAGCTAATGATTAATTGTCACAAAGATTATGGTGGGGTGGGGCATCCCACTTCTGCCTGTTCATGCCTTTTCCTCACCCTCACTCTACTTTCTATTGTTAGCAGAAGTGTGTGTGTGTGTGTGTGTGTGTGTGTTATGGTGCTGTTAATTGAACCCAGGAGTTCTCGCACAAGCTAGTTAAGCATTTCCTTTGTTCATTGGTTTTGTTGTTGTTCTTTGTTTGCTTGTTTATTTCTCTTTTTCTTCATGACAGCATCTTGTTAAATTGCCCAGGCTGGCCTGGAACTTGAAATCCTCCTGCCTCAGCCTCCTGAGTAGTTAGGATTACAGATACATGCCACAGTGCCCAGCAAGCAACTGCATATTTCTCAGTAAGAAAAGTACAAACACAAATATGTTAGAAACTTAGTTGATAAGACATATTAAGTAATTTTTATAAATACTGTTTGGGACACAGTATTCTCTAGGAATCCCCCAAAATGAATGTGGTTTCCGAATGTGCTAAACAAATAGCCATCAAGAAGTAATAAGTGAATCAGCTAATGAGATAATACTGATCCTACACAAGTATATAATATGTTAGGGCCAAAGTCATTAGTCATCTAGTCTCAGAAAAACATCAAATTGTGACTCTTATTGAATGATGAGGTCTAGTCCACTGTACATTAACCGCCTGAAAATCCGGAACAAAGCACAGTTATTAAAACACAGACTTCAAAATCAAAGCCATGGGAAACAGGATGAGTTCATAAACAACATATAATAATAAGGTCTGATGGCTCTCTCAACAAAATAATAACCCTTTCCATTTCTGTAGTAAATTTTACAATGCTTTCACATCTTATTTCACTCCAAGGCATCCCTATGAGCTACAGACTATCTTTATCCCTTTTCTAGGGCCAGGAATAGAGTGAGGTGAGTCAGGCACTTACCTCAGAGGCAAAATTTGAGGGGCACCAAATAACTCAATAACCAAGAAAATAATATGTAATGTAATATTTTAAAATATCAAAATTAATATAAAGAAAATATTATGACCCCCAAAGTTAAAAGTTTAACAAAGACAGGACCAGTATTACTGACTTCTTTTGCCTCAGATTCCAAAATGGCTCCCATGGCACTGCCCTCTTCAAAGACCAAAAAAAAACTAAAGAGAAGAGTATTTATTACACATTCCAGACTGTAAGGCTCATTAAGGCATCAGGGAACAAAATACAGTGAACTTCTCTATTTCACAAAAGGAAAATCCCTGCTAAGAGTTTGAAGAACCTAACAACCAATAGCATTAAAATAACAGTATTCTTAAACAATCAAAAGGCTAATCTTGACTCACGACAAACTTCCAAGAAATGTATATAAACACAAAAGCCAATTAAATGTTAATTTATTCAGCTCACTGAGGCAATGTGTTTCTGAAACCAAAAGTTGCAAATGAATACTTACTGCTGGAAGAGTAAGTGTCCTGAAAGAACCTAAAAGAAGAACAGGAAAGAAAGGAGATTTGTCATAATCTGAATGTACTATTATAACACAAAATTCATAAAACTCTTAGATGTAGATGGGATTATAAATGCATTTGGTCAAACCAAAACAATTTTATTAATGCCCAGAATATACTAGAAATTATCATATATCCTTGTGCCAAAGATTTAAGGATCTCAATTAAAAAGACATCAGTGAATGAGCCCCCAAAACAGAAGATCTGATTCTCTTGCCATTATTATTTGTTCTCATTGCTGCTAGGCTCTCATCGCTGTCCTAAGTTAATATGCTTCTGAGGGACACTTCATAGAGCATATAGGGGAACCTGCGGTTTGGGAGTTCAAGAAGAGGGTATTTTGCTGTTGAGGGACTTTTTGCTTTGTTTCTTGCTTGTTATATGTGGTGCAGGGAATTAAACACAGTCTAATGCATGCTAAACACGCACTCTACCACTGATCTACACTCCCAGCAATGTGGGTTTTTTTAATATTTTTTTAGTTGTAGGTGGACACAATACCTTTTTTTTTTTTTTAATGTGGTGCTGAGGATCAAACCCAGTGCCTCAGACATGCCAGATGAGTGCTCTACCGCTACAGCCCTAGCCCCAGCAATGTTTATTTTTTATGTTCTCATATTCTCGTGATAAAGAAAGAAAAGGAAGACATTAGTCATGTCAAGGAGGAGCTGAAACTCACCACTGACTCACGAGTATTAGGTGGTACAGATGTTTTTGCATAGAGTTTCTAAACATAGGACTGCTACTTTAATTCATACCAATTTCTCATCATATCCATTTATTTTGAGGTAAAAATGGTTTCAAGTTAGAAATTAAAAAGTATTTATCTGAGGTTCCCAATCAGAGGTGATAATAGGACCTCCTTTCCTTGATTAATTTAAAAACTATATCTTAAAGATACCAAAATTAACAAGACAGATATGATCCCTCTCCTCCTGGAAGCCACATGGGTTTATCATGTGGGATCAGAGAGGCACTAAAATGTGGCACAGTACAGAGCAGAAGTTTAAAAATGGCTTCTGAAGTCGGATCTCACAGGTTCTATCATGAATCTGCCATAAGCCAGCCCTATCTTTGAACAAGTTATCTGGTTCTCCAGCCCAGTGTTTTCATCCATAAAATGAGGATGTTGGTAATCACACCAACCTCACAAGGTGGTAGTGAGGTGGTAATTGATGCCTGCAAAGTGCACAGAACAGATCCTGATGCATAGGCAACAGCTGATGTATGTTAGAAAGCTTGAAGAGTTTTCCACTGGGAATGTCAGCATGCCTCTACAACAATGTTCTTCAAACTTTTATAATGAAGCACTCCATAAATAAAAATATTTAATACACATTGCCCATGTCAAACTACATTCATAAAGTTATGTACATGTGTTTTCTCAAACTATCAAATATTAGAAAACCTTAATTTCCTAGTTTTTCTCAACTTTAAAAATGAAAGTACATTTTCTACCTTAACTCTTATAAATAATCTTGTACAGATGGTCGCACACCACCACAAAAGACCACAGCCTCCGTGGAACTCAAGGAAACACAAACACATTTTCAGGAGCAGACAAGAAAGTCATCACCATCATTTGTCACCCAGCATAAATCAGTTTATCTAACTGTCACCATTGACAGTTGGTGGAGAACGCTGGACAAAACATGTTTTAGGAAAGTGAAAAATATAAATATATTCCACAATGAACAGATAGAGAGGGGGTGAGTGGGGAGCATTTAGAAGGAATGGAGGGAGAACACCTAGAGAAAAAGATGCCAGCATCTACCATTCTAAGATAGGAGAAATCAGCAAGGTGGGGAAGGACAGGAAGCATGCTCCAGGCAGAGGAGCAGCAAATCCAGAGCAGCAGAGGTCTACAGAAGCAAAGACCTGGTTGGGTCAAGCCACTGGCCAGGAGAGGGCAGCAGAGGTGAGGCTGGCTCTCTGCACAGGGTGAGCCCTTATACCAGTATCCCAAGTGACCCTGTTATCCACATCCTGATTTAGCATTTGTCCTGGATTTTTTGTTGTTGTTGTTGTTAGTAAAATGTTATTGTGTGATAGGTTTAATCTGCATATTTGAAATATTTGTATTCTTTTTGATAGGTAAAAATTGCATATATTTATGGTGTACAGATGTTTTGATACATATAATTTGTGCAATGGCTAAAAAGCTAATTAATATATGCATTACCTCACACATTTCTCATTTGTTTGTAGTAAGAAAACTTAAAATCTACTTTATTAGCAGGTTTCAAGTATATAAAATACTGTCATTAATCACCATAACCATGATGTACAATAGATCTCCTGAACTTACTCCTCCTGTCAAATGGAAATTTTGTATTCTTTGACCAACATCTCCCCAAGCTCCCAGCCCAGCCTCTTATAAACATCATTTTACTCTCTGATTCTCTAAGTTCAATATTTTAGATTCCACATATAATGAGATCATGTAGTATTTGTTTTTCTGTGCCTGGCTTATTTCATTTAATATAATACCCTCAGATTTATTCATGTTGTCACAAATGACAGAATCTCCCTTTCTAAGGCTGAACTGTATTCCATTGTAAATATATACCGAATTTCCTTTATCCCGTTACCTACAGATGACAGACAGGTTGATTCAATGTAATAATCACTACAAGAAATGTTCCCATGAACAAGGGAGTGCAGATGTCTTTGACATGCTGATTTCATATCCTTTGTATATATACTCAGTTGTGCTTTGAGAATATCTCAATGGGGTAAGGGGCTCTGTTCATTAAGGTTTTATTTTTAATAGAATAAATATATTCCACAATGAATTGAAATCAAATTAGAAAACCCTAGGGTGCTGTAGCAACTAAACTTGGTAAATCCTTGGAAAAAAATACAGCCAATTTACTTAACAAATTCTGTCTTACAAAATATTTGTTAGGTTAAGTGTATGGCTGAGTGGTAGAGTGCTTGCCCAGCATACACAAGGCCCTTCCATGAGAGAAGCATGGTGCTCTGCAAGCAAAAAGACATGCCCTGTGAAAGATTTGAGGTGAAACAATTGAACATTTCAATATAGCAGGAAAAATAAAATTCTTAATAGGCACCTCATTACATTTTGGAGAGAATGTTTTCTCAATAAAAATATTATGGCCAGACAACCTGACAATGGACATAAAAATTGGTAACAAGATTCAAAGTTCAATGAACATGCTGCTATATAATTAAATAAATGGTTAAACGAGGGAGAACAGAAGTTCTTACTTATCATAAAATCTCATCTAACAAATACAGACAGAATCCTAGAATTAGAAAATTTCACAACTATCACAGAAATATTTGATCAGGCAATAATCATCAATCTAGTAAGTACAAATAAGCTGCGTAAGAATATACCCCATTTGATTCAAATAATAATAATAATAATAATAATAATAATAATCAAATGGTGACAGAATAAAAGATGAAAAGTAAAAAAATGAATTATAAGAAATAATAAACCACTGTTGTTTTAAACTAATAAATTTGGGGGTGGCTTATTTCATGAAGATAGGTAACTGGAACACTTGTGAAACAAGATTAATTAGCAACCTCTAAAGCTGGGAGGTCCTATGTGGTACCCTCTGGCCACATGTGGCTATTGAGCCATTGAAATACACAGCACTTATAAAATACACCCCATATTTTTAAGACTTAGAACAAGAGTATAAAATGCCTTATCAATAATTTCATCCATGTTGAACTGTTATTTGTAAATTATTGGGTTCAAGTATATTAATAAAATTAATCTTACTTGTTTCTTTTTACTGTTTTAAATAGAGCTACTAGAAAATTTTCAATTATTTATGTAACAGTGTCCACTTTGTGCTTTTAATGTAGCCCTTGCTGCTCAGCCACTGGCATTTCCTTCTCTTCCTCCTTCCCTGTTCCTCCCTAATCTCTCCCTTCCCTAATCTCAGGGGACATGGGAGTACTTTTCTTTCCCATTTTAGGCGGATTTATCTGTCCTTGAGTACACACTCACCATAGGAAGGAAGTAATCCAGACTTTGGGGATGGTACCAGAAGATCTCAGAAATGACTACTTCCTAAATTAACAATTACAACTCCAACAGAGACCACATGAAATGTAGCTTTTGAATGGCCTCTTTTAAAGCCCTCCTTGTTACCCTGATGGATAGAATCACAGCCTCTGAGACAGAGTCCCATGTTTCTCCTATGCTAGCAAAGCAATAAATCATTTTCCTTTTTCTCAAAACCGTGTCCTCATTATTGAATTGGCATCAGGAACAAGGCCCGAGCTTTCAGCAAGACTTACGTAGTTATAATATTTCTATTAGACACCCATAGCCTAAAGGATATAATACTTAAATCTTTACTTAGAAGCAGAGCTGAAAGAATACAATTTTTTAATTTTGTGAATAAAATAATAATATTATTTATAGAGTTCTAAAAGCACTGCCTACATGAACTGGTTTAATCCTCACAACAATTCTATTTTACAAATGAGAGCCTTGAGCCACAGAAATGTGAAGAAACTCACTTGGGATCACACAGACTAGAGTGATGGGGCCAGGGCTCTGACAAGGCAGCCAGGCTCCTGGGTCTGAGCTATGACTGCTCTGCCCTGACTCTCAGTACAAGAAGCAGTTACACTCTCGTACATACCTTCATCTACTATCAAAATTCCACAGCCTGCATAGCCCATGTGAATGCTGCCAGCCCTCACTTCCTCGATCACAGAGGTTAAGAATCTCAGTCATCTTGAACTCCTTTCTCTCCTCAACTCTATGTTAATCAGTCATCAGAATCTGTGGATTCAGGAGCCTATGCTGCCCTTTCCAAAAGGTGGGAAAAGGGCACCGCTCTGAGAGCAGTAGACAGCAGGATCCTCAGCAGCTTGCAGGAAGAAGTCCTTCATGCCTGCAGGGGATCTGAATAGTCCAGCACAACGTCTACTAGTGTCCCACATTAGAATAAAACAGAAAAAATTAAACTGTAATGAGCT